CACTGCAGTCATGCCATGCAGGACAGCTGCCTTCCCAGCATGCACAGCAGCTCCTAGGACAGATTTTTGACCCATACACCAGATGACCATGATCCAGAACACAACGTGGGTAGACACCCCTGAGTCCCTATCACACAAGTACACTCCTGTGTCTTCCTTTCATTAATGTAAAACCTCAAGGTTTCTCCTTGTGAAGGGCTTGAGGAGAACAGGACCACCCCATGAGAGCCAATTTCCCATGCATTCGGCTTCAAAGGATGCCAAAGCACCTCCTCAGTGAGCCCAAAGACTCAGCCTGATGAGGAGCTTGTTGGACTCATATTAAGGGAACAGGAACTGCAGATATGGAAGGTCAGAGCTGCTGTGCAAGCTGGGTGTTGCCTTGGGCAGAGCAGAGCCCTTCCTCGCCTGCGCTGGGCGAGCAGGCACTGTCATTCCCAGGCAGGTTCGCATAGCCGGACTGTACTGGGAGGGCTACACATGGAGGATGAAGTGAGAGCAGCAAATCCTCATGGCATTTTCTCTGAGCCCCTGAAGATCACAGCAGGTTGGCACTGTCAGTCGGAGCCAGATTAGAGTCCCAAGAGCCTGGCAGCCGCCAATCCCCCTGGAACCTGGGCAACAACTTTCTTCAAGCCAGGACTCTCGCCCCCTCAAAGAAAAAGCTGCTCCTAATGAAAACATGGCACCAAGAAGGCCTCGGAGCACTTCCTGGCCAGGCGGTCTGCCCGGAGGCAAGTCAGTGTCCCAACGGAGGCAGCAGCCAGGCTGGATGAGTGCCTAGCTGGGAGCAAGCCCAGCTCTGGGGAGAGCACCAAGGCAGCAAGGAGCCCGCCCAGCCGCCGCACAGACCCCAAAGCCAGGCACGTGGGTCACGGGGGTGATGGATGTGAAGAGGGGATGCAGGCAGAGCATCGGCCAGGGCCGGGTTAGCGGGGTCAGTGGGGTCAGAGCAGAGGGGCCCAGGATCCCCAGGGCATGCCAAGGTTAACCACGTCGCTGCTGCGGAGCCAGCCATGATACCTTCTATCCCTCCAGTTACTGCTAGGAAAAGGGCTTTCAGATTCTGGGAAAGGCCTGAAGCCCTCTGAAGCAGCACACCATAAAAAAAACCATGTGTCTGGGGAGGATGCCCAGACTAGGGGGGTAGAAGAAAATCCCTCTTTCCTCCCACCTTCCCAAACCAGCCCTCCACACATCTCTAGGCTGAACTCAGCTGTGGCCATGGAGCAGAAGTCCTCCTGTTTCAGCTGCAACAAACCTGGGAAAGCCTACGCAGCTTAGCCCATGTGGGCAGCACAGCTGCAAACAGACCCTGAGCTGTCCCAAGGTGAGGACCCCACCCCCCATCCCAAAGTGCCATCGTATCCCCTGACAGCAGCTCTTCATTGGGGACGTTTCCACCTTGGGGGATGCCTGGCTGCTCCATGGAAGTGGTAAAACCCTGCCATGCCCCAAAACTCTGCCTGGACATCTCCGCTTTCCTCATTGCTGCAGATTTATTGGTGCTGTCTGACAAATCAGGCCAAGCAGAGCTCACCCCTTCATTGGGTGCAGCCAGAGGATGCCTGGGCCCCCACAGCCAGAGGGGTTGGGTACCATGGGGTACAGGCTGGGCTGTGCCTCTGCCCCCCTTTCTCCAGAGGAGCAGGAGCCCCAGCACCACCCCCTACCCCAGCAATGCTGGTCTGGCAAAACCTCCTCCTACCAGCCCCCAGGATGCTTCCTGGGACAGCCAGCCCACCCTTCCCCACAGCCAGGTCTCTCCAAAGTCCAGGAGCAAGGGATTCCCCCAAGCTTCAGAGCCAGACTTCACCCCAAGAGTTTTAAAACAGCCAGCCCTCCAGTCTTCTGCGGTTTAAAAAAAGTTAAATTCAAATAAAGGCTGCTGGGCGATCCCCTATTTTAACACACACACACCTCCAAACCCATAGCTTTACATTGCAAAATAAGCTGAGGCAAGGCAAGGCAAGTCAGGCTTTTTTTTTTTTTTTTAAACCCAAGGAGAAAGGGGCAGTGAAGGCACCTGATACCTCCCTATAATTAGAGACAGTTCTTTATCCCTGATGCCACTGCCAGAGCACCTATATCCAATTTGGAAACACTAAAGTATTGCCCAGCTTCATTAAATTATCCATCTGGCCCTCCCCTGTTCATTTCCCTACTATTTTTCCAGTTTAATGAGCCCAGCTGGGTCAAACTGTGACCACTTACTCCTGAGCAGGGATCAGACATCCCTCCATCCCTCCCCCAAGGAATCTGGTGCACCAAGGGGTCCAAAGACTCTCCACATATCAGTTTTCCCAGGCAACCTCCTTCCAGCCACGGGTATACTTAGCAACAGCAGTCATCCTAGTAAGGACCCTTGAGACTCCTCTAAGGATCTGGAGAATTCAAGACAGCTGGGAATAGACAAGGCAAAGAAAAGCCTGGGGCTTGCTAGCACAGCAGAGCCTCTTCCCAGGCAGTGACCATACATGGGCTGCCAAGGGCTCCCTGCAGCTCATGGGGTGGGAAACCCCAGAAGGAAGAAGACAGGGGAATTTGGGAGAAGCCAATCTCTCATCTCAGACCCCATAGACAAGAGAAACCTGCCTGATGAGCTGTGCTGCCACTCAGGTGAGAATATCCTGCAGAGCACAGCCCAAGCTGTAGGGATGGGCACAGCCATGGGTGTAGCAGCTAAGGTCAAGGGCTACCCCATGCCTCCAGAGCTTTATGGAGACTGCTCTGAGTAACAGACCCAATACATAGCAGGTTATCTAGCCCTGGTGCAAGGCAGGCTTCTCCCACATCTCAGGCTCCCAACCTCTTGCTGTCAAGGCAGGAGGGTTGGCTCCTTCATCCTGCATTATGGTGTCCCATCAGGGCAGGACAACCCAAGCAGCCACCTCTCCAGAGCAACCCACGGCTTCTCACTTCTTTTCACATCAGGCTTACACAGCAGTAGTTTCCTATGTAGCAATTCCAGTTCATGGAAGAGAGCATAACACCAGTTTGGTTTAGGTGGTGTTACGCTGGTGTCAGCAAGACTTTGCCAGCATATCCCCATTTGTATGGGGAAACAGAATAAGCTATGTCCAAATTAGGATTCCTAGGACATTTTCTAATATGAGCGCCTCTTCTATATACACTGGGCACAGCTAAATAGATAAGATTCATTGTTTAAGCAAACCCAGCACCTTTTTTCTCTCCATATCGCCTAACTGTGCATTTACACCAGGGAGTGTTGGGATCTACTCTCCTGGCAGCTCCATCACAAGACTCACTGCTCCCACCTCCAGCATGCTTTAAGCTGTCTTAGGAGCACTGTCCTGACTCCATCCATACACAGGTCAGCTTGAAAAGAGCTTTGTCCTCAAGGAGAGGAGATAAGAGAGCTGAGCTAGCCACAGGGTGAGAAAAGGTAGCCCCAAACAACAAGTGAATGCTTCCTTCCTCCATTTTGGGAGTGGAAATCACCAGAGCCTAGCAAGCGTTTAAATAGCGCGAGTAAAAGCAGGAGAAGTTTAGAGTTGCACATGAAACTATTACACAAATTGAGAGGAAAAGTAATTCTCCCTATTTTAAAAACAAAAAGGAAGTTATTTTTGCTCGCTACTTTTGCCATCAAGTTCCATATTTCATTAAAATTCTAAAATGCAGCTAGGGAGGAAGGGATGTGCCACCCTGCCACCAGTATTCACATACACACTTTTTAAACATGTTTCGAAAGGCTGCAAGATTTGGAGTGCTACAGAACAGACCCCTCCAGACAGCCTCTTATTTAGCTGAAACTCTAGCAGGAAACAGAGAAGGGAACAAGCTGACCCTGCCCCACCAGCAGCCTCTGCTGCTGGCCCTGGCTGTGCTGGCATACCTGCGCCTGCTGCTGCACAATTGCCTTGGGCCGCCCCCAGCATCTGCTCCTTGCTTCTGCAAGGTGAGCTGAGCCTGTGGCAGAGGCACAGCCAGGCTGGAGCTATGCTGGGAATTGCATAGATCACGCTGAGAAACCCCCGTGCTCCCCCAGCAGCCAAGGCTTCCCCATCGTTTCAGCAGAGAATCATGCATGGAGCCTCCCAGCACCTTTTGAAGCTTCCAGTCAAGTCCTCAGCCAAGGCTAATTGCTGTCAGGTGTCAGCCAAAACACTTACTGCAACCATTAGTGACAGGAGATGACACACCTTTCTCCTCTCACTGTCACTGAAGGGGGTTTTTCCTCCATCAACATTAACTGCACTGGCTTTCAGAAGCCTTGGGGAGAAATGCTAATGTTAGCTTTGAAGCTGGTGGCAAAAAATCAGGCAACCCCCCAACTCCCTGGATGCTCAGCCTGAATCCAGTCCAAATCTGAGTACTTCTGGGTGATATACCTCAGCTGAGCTTATCTCTGTCTGCCTCCATCACAGGCAGATGTGGTCTCCGCTACTGATCTGTCTTCTTTTAACCCCCATGGAAACCTTACTGCATTGGAGCGAACAGACTCCAAACTTTACAATCTCTGCTGATAAAGCAACAAAGCAGAGCGGAGGCACAGGAAGATGTATCACCTTACAGCAACTAGCCTGAAACATTGCTAGGTTAATTTGGTTAGAGACATAGGGGACAGCAAGAAATCAGATGTGCCCAGCATTTCCTGCAAGGAAAGCAAGCAGCTGATCCCCACCCACTGGTCTGAAAGATGGGGCTGATTTCAGCTGTGGAGCAGGTCCAGGTCACCAGACCCCTCGTTGAGCTTGCCCACTGCTGGATCTGCTGTTCCCCACTTGATCAACCCCCTCCCAAGGGCTTTGAAGTTCAAAGGAGATGAGACCTTTAGGAAGCCTAAGTCTCTCCCTAGCTGTGGAGCTTGTCAAAAGCCGGCCAGAGCATCTGACCCATTTCAGCCTCATGGGTCATCATCATTTTGGCTGTGCATCCTCCTTTCCCACCATCACCCCCCCCCATTTCCTAGCCTCCCAGTTTCCCGGGACTGGAAGGCAGCTGTGGTGTTGGGGTACCGGGTCCCCAGGCCTCACCTCTCACTCTCCCCAGGTGATTCATCTCCCACTTGGTTCACACCTTCCGCACCATTCTGGCACCCCTCCGAGTCCGACATCTTCTCCCCCGGTGGCACGGCAGCCCGGCGGACAGCTCTGGTGCGAGGGTGCTGCCACTGTTTTGCTTTTCCTGTGCTCAGCAGAAGTGAGCTGTGCCGGAAACTTCATGGGCTGAGGGTTTGGGGGGATGGGAGAGGGGCAGATGGAAGGCAAATTTTGGGGGGTTTTTTTGGTTTTTTTAAAACTGTTGGGACTATTTTAATGCTTTGCCTCTGCCGGCAGCTTGAAATCAGGAAGTGCTGGGCTAACCCAAAGGGAAAGCCGGGGGCATGGACACCCCCCGATGGCAAGGAGAGGAGTGACCTGCTGCTCCCTCAGCTTTGGGGACAGCCAGCATCTCTAAACCGCAGCATGCTACAGTGCACCAGTACCAGGATGCTGCCACAGAGGCTGCCGAGCTTGTCCCGACTTTGCATCTCTCAAAGCCCGCTGGAGCTGAAGAGGCCGCTTCTACCCTGCGGCCATCACCCCTCACCTCCCTTCCCACCTCGGCTCCTACCCCACGGCTTCCTGCTGTTGCCACCATGGGTGGAGGTTCTGCAACACCTCCTGGGGCTTAGCCTCTTATCTTTTTGTCTCTTCGCCACTGGTGAAGGACATGGCCAGGAACTGGTGGTACAGCCTGGCAGGAGGATGCCAGCAGAGCACGGTGGCACGGCCTCAGCCTTTTCTCCCCGCAACAAGGGCAATGAGCATCGCCAGCTTTGGAGGGGACCAACATCAGAGAGGTCCCCCATCCCCACAGCACAGCCCCTGCCAAAGCCTCCCGTCCCCACCAGGATCCCCAAGGCGGGGGCAGACCCTGCTGGCACCATGGCATGGGTCGGAGTCTGGCCCCCCAGGCAGGCAACACCCGCCTCTCCTGCCAAAGCTTTATTTACACTGCTGCTGCCAGGATGCAGCTCTTCGCAAAACCAGAGAAAAACAGCACTCGGTCAGTGCCCTTGAGCCCAGGGGGAAGGTGAGGACAGGAGAGAGCGGAGGGTGGGTGTGGAGAGGCAGGTGCTTAAGACTCGCCAGCCTCGAACATCTTCTTCCTGCCCTCCATGCCGGACTTCTCCTCAATGTTCTTCCTCCAGTCACCAACATCACGGAGGTCCTTCTCCTGGGGGAGGGATGGGCGCATGGGTGAGAGCGGTGCCCCCCGGGGTGAGAACCCACCCAGGCAGGGCCATGTCCACCCATGGAAAACTTCATGTCAGCTAGAGGAACCCAATCCCACCCACGCTGTACATCTTTTTGGGCTGTACCCTCCTTTTTCAACATCATGGGTTCCGGAGGAGAAAATATTGAGCAGGAAGAATATTACAGAGAAAGGCTAACGCTCAACCCTGTCTATCACACAGGGACGCATGAGTCCCAAAAAACAGGGGCCAACTCCTGCATGGGCATGGAGGAGAGGGAAGGAGTACCTTCTCGGTGTCCTCCTTCTTGACTTGCTTCAGGTTGGCTCGGAGGTCCATGCAGACCTTGTGCTTGGAGCCCAGCAGGGCCCGCAGCATCGCATCAGCGGACATGCGCACCCTGCGCAGGGGCGGCCTCTTGAACTTGCCCCGCAGGTCAAAGAGCTTCTGGCTCAAGTCTTCCAGCTGCAGGGGGATTAAATGAGGGAGAACAGAGAGAGAGAGCAAGGCATGGATTTTGTGAGATGGACCCAAGTGGTGTGGGGAGGCAGGAAGGATGGGTTGGAGACTCCCCTGAAGGATGGCTCTGGGGAAAACTCACCTCCTTGTTAGTCTTCTGTAGCTTCACTTCTGTGTCATACCTCTCCTCATCCACTGACTCTATCTTGGCATGAAGCTTTTTGCACAGCTCCTGGGAGGAAAAGCAGAGAGGGATGTTGACTGCTAGGACCCACACATGTGGTTCCTCTCTCCTGACCACTCTGGCTCTGAAAGACCTCAGTCCAGAAGACTAGATGGGGTCAAGACCAGATGGCAAAGAATGGCTTGCAGGCCACCTCCTAGTCTCCATGCTACTGGCTTCATGCAAGTGCTGCCTCAACACATCATTAGAAACGCAGCTTTCCTGCCAGCCAGACCCCTGCTTTTTGCAGAGAGACTCCAGCTGCTTCTCAAGCCAGTTCCACATCCAGCCAGCTCCAGGGCACCCACAGGCGAGAAGGGGGTCAAGATGGGAAAGCCATTCAAGATCCACCAGGCTGACTGATGGAGCCAAATCCTTTCTGCTCTGGCACAGTGAAGGGTTAAAGAAATCTTTACCTGAAGTTCCTGCATGGATCCTGGGAGTGACAGAGGAGGGCAATGCTCTGCCAGGTAGTTTTGCTTTTCCACTTCTTTAGCAGCTGCTTCTCTTTCTATTTCAGTGGCAGCAAGCTGGAGCATAGCACTCTGGAAGGCAGCAGGAGGATGGTCAACACTGGGTAGAGGCAAGGGAGGAGGGCAGGGGGGTTGGGAAGGGAGGGAGAGCTCTGATGGAGAGGCAGCTTGGGGAGCTCCCCATCAATACCAGCATCTCCAACCAAAGGATACTGGGGGGGGACCCAGTAAGGAGCAGGGTGAGCGGCCCCAACATTGTGCATCATGGTCTCTTCCAGAAGGGAGACTGCTGAGAACTGTCTGGCCCAGGATGGGAGATGGGATGGCCGGGACACCCTCGCCCAGCCCCAGCAGTGCCACATACCTTCAGGTGCTGCCGACGGGCAGTGGCTGCCCTCCTTTTTTTCTGCAGGTGGGAGGAATGAGAGAAAAGCAGGTTACCAAGTGTCCCTTCCCCTTTCTGTCCCCTTCCCCCATGCAGCCCTGCCAGTCCACTGAGGACCTGCAGCCCTGGCAGGGATCTGGCTCCAGCCGGGACGGACAGCTTGACACACAGTTGGTCCCCAAACCAGTGGCACTCAAAGAAGAGGCTCCCTGCTGAACCCAGCTTTGCCAGCCTCAGGTAGCTAAAACCTACAAAGTGCCTCAGGAAAAGATAATGAGGGTGACAAACTTGAAGATAAGCATATAAAATATAACTTCAAACTTGGCCTCTTGGGACTTTTAGTGTTTTCTCTAATTTCCTCTTCACTCAGACCTGTGTTTTGCTTTGCACTCAAGCTAACAGCAGTGATGCCCCTGGGCACGCGGGAGCTGTGGGATGTCTTTCTGAGTGGTCCTTGGCACACCTGGTGAGAAGGACAGACAGGCAGGTGAAAACATGAAGGCTGCATAATGTCTTGGAGCTGAAAAGACCCACTGCAAGTGACACTGAAGGGGGTTCATCACAGCTGGAGGACAGACACGACTACAGGGTCTACAGGCCTGGAGGCTAGTCTGGCCAGGAGAGGTGGAGGGCCATGAGGCTGTGGCTGCAACACACAAGCCAGCTCCCTCTTCCCTGGGATGCCAGGTGAGAAATAATATGGGGAGCCTGGAAGACCAAGCCTGCCCTTCTGTACCCATGATGCACTGGAACAGCAGCAACAGGTCTCCTATTTATAAAAGAAGCCACAACTTTGATGTGCTGCTGCATTGCACCTGTTTCCTTAGCATTTTGCCCAGACGACCAAGCAAGGCTGAGTGTGTCTGGGGCAGGGGAAATGCACCCTGACATCTGATATGCCGTGGTGGGGGAGTAGAAAGCAGCATTTGGGTGTGAGTCTGTGCTGCATAGAGGAGGAAGTGGATAAGGATCTGCAGAGCAAAATGTAACAAAATCTGACAGGTTTTGCCTATGCAAATGGTGCTAAAGCCCTCCTGACAGGACTGGAGGGCTCTACAGAGAAAAGGCATCCAGCTCAGAGATGCGGTGCACCATTAACCGGCAGGATTTTACTTATATGAATCCAGGCCATGACAGAGCATATAGCCCTTGAGCGCTGTTAGCCCAGGGCTTATTCTCCACCTGAAAACTGGTACCTTAGCAAAGAGGGCCCTCCCAGCCTTTTCTAGGGGCACTGGGTTTGATGGGGAATAAAAGCACCTGTTGGACATCAGCACCATACTGTGGAGTTTCTATGTGTCCCTGAAACCCTCTTTTCTCTCAGTGAGGACAAGCTCGAGCTTGTGGTCTTTTGGACATATGGGAAGATGCCAAGCAGAGATGAAGGATGGAGCACCTTGCAAAGAGATGTAGAGTGACAAAGCCACGCACAACCCTCCCACACCTTCCCCTGCCTTTCCCCAGCTACCCCCAAGCTGCAAGCCCAGCCCTGCTCCAGCTGTGCCAGAAGCCAGGGAAAAGTTGCTAAGGATGCAACCTCCACCCTGTTCACACTCCCCTAGATCCAGGTCTCCCCTGGATCGCCTTCGAGAAGCGATTTGGCAGTGCTTGGTGGGCAGAAAATGAGGGGCTACGTGTGGGGAGGGAGACGATGCTAGGCCAAGGGCTGGGTGGAGGGGGGGATAGAGGAGAGGCGGCTCCGCACCACCGCCTTCCCAGCACCATCTTGTGGCCTGCTGGGGAAGCAGGAAAGGAGGGAAAAACCGTCTAACTCCAAACCAGGAGGCAGAAAAGACCTTCAAACGGGATTTTTCTTCTCCTTCCCATCTTTACCAGGAGGAGTCAGCAAGAAAGCCTTGCCAAGAACCATTCTTCCACCCTCCCCACCCAGCAGCTGCTTTTCCTAAGGAGGAACAGTGAAGTCAGGATTGAAGCCACAAGGATCGCTATAGGAAAAACCCCAGCAAGACACACTTACCTCTTCACTGTTCAGGAAGAGCAGATGGACAAGGAAGGGAAGGAAGAGAAAGGGGAAAGAGGAAAAAAAGGCAGTTAGCATCTGAACTGGAAACAAGCAGAGGAATCTTAACAAGCGCAAAAAGTTGGGGGATGAACAAAAGTTTTTAAATGCCAACAACATATTAGAGACCGAAAAATGGGAACTTACTCAGACATCTTGCTTTAGATGGTTGTGAGCCTGCAATGAAAACCAAGAAAAAAGGTTCACAATTATTCATGCTGATGGTGACTTTCTCGGGTTTAAAAACAAAGCAAGATTCCTCTAGAAAAAAAAAAAAAAAAAAGAGGAACAGGTTTGCTCTTATTTCCCAACTTCTCCAAATTTTCATCACATAGGGAACTAGGCTGCAGTTTGTGGATGAGAGCCAAACACAT